TTCAAAGAACACAGCATTGCACAATGAATTCGAGGGAAAACAAAAACCAGGTACTTAATCTTGAAAAGTTGTATATTAAAAGGGTAACATGTAAGAGTGAAAAAGAGTGCCTGGCTGGCGTGGCTCAGTGGTTGAGCATCAACTTATGATTCAGGAGATTGTGGTTTGATTCCTGGTCAGGGCACATTCCCAGGTTTTGGGCTCGATCCAGTGCGTGGCATGCAGGAGGCAGCCAATCAATGACTCTCTTATCATTGATGTTTCTGTATCTCTGAAATCAATAAAGACTTTTTTTTTCCTAAAGAGTGTTGATATTGTTTTGGAAAGTCTGAATTTGGCACTGTATGATGGCCTGGCCTTGGGCAAATCCTCTAACCTCCTTGGGCTAATGCCCTCCTCTGTAAAGTGGAGTGAAGGTCAGGAGTGGTGATAGATGTGAATGTGTCTTTAAAACTAGAAAGTGGTTTCAAATCAGGCGTGAAGAATAGGGTTGGGACGGGGCCACAGAATCGGCCACAACAAGTTGCTATGTGGTCACGTCCAAGTCCATAGGCTCTGCAGGGACCAGGAAAGAATTTTAGTAGGATGGCAGCTCAGGCATGCTCAGAGCCTGCTTCCCTTTTACTCTGTCCAGTTACTGAGCTGAGCAGTACCCTCTATCCTATTGGGACCATGAGGCTGTGGCCACATTTTGTTGTTCCACAGGTGTTCAGTGGACAGTCCCAAGGGAAGGCTGCTCATTTCTCCCATGCTGCTCTGGTGTGATGAGTTTCCTGTGCTTGAGGGTAGGGAGGAGGTGAGGAAAGGAGGCTCCAGGGATGGGTGAGCAGCTGGCCTGGGAGTTGACCAAGACTAGTCATACATTCCTGCACCCACTCAGCAAGTATTTGAGTGCCTACCAGGATGAGGCTCTAGAACCTAGATAGAGGCCACGTGGTCAGTCTACTAAGAATTAGAATGAGAGTGATGTGAGCTGGCTAGAGTTGGGGTGTACAGGCCTATCCCACTGCTTGGCCTGCAGCAAGGCTACTACTCCCTGGAAACTGAGCTGACCTATTACTGTCTCCTCACCATTCCCACCTGATATCTACTTTAACTCTGATTGTCCCCTTATGTGTGTGTGTAGTATACACCATGCAGAGCTTTGTTGGATCCAGGGAGTGGAGAGGGCAGTGGGCCAGGGTAAGTGATGTGTATGCACATCTCCCCAGCAGCAACGGCCCCTTCCCACCTTGGTGGGCTCTTCAAGTCACTGTGTTATCTCATAGGGCCACCTTAGCAGCCTTGTAGGAGACATGACACCCTCACTTTTCAGGTGAGAAAAACAATTGAAGCCATCAAGGTATCTACTCTGAGCCAATGGCTGGTGAGTGGTGGCACCAGGACTTGAGGTCAGAGCTTTTCAGAATTGGGGAAAACTGAAACATTGGGGGATTTTTAAAAACATGTACTCTTTTGTCTGGTTTCAAAATTAATACATGTAAAAATGTCATTTTTATAAATGGGGAGGACTTATAAAGTGTAAGTCACTACCTCTAAACCCCCATTAATGCTGAGATAATCACTGTTAACAGTTCGGTATGTTCTTCCACATTTTTAAAGACATTTACTATGATTTCATTCATATGTGAAATCTAATGAACCAACTGAACTAACAAGCAAAATAGAGACAGACTCAGAGAGAGCAGGCTGCTAGTTGTCAGTGAGGTAGGAGAGTAGAGGTATTGAGCAAAAAAGAAAGAACTCATAAAAAATAAAGACATTTACTAATATTTATATTCATTGTTGTAACAAATGTAATATACACACATTTTACACATTCCTTTTTAAAATTTCTATATCCTCACTCGAGGATATGTTTATTGATTTGAAAGAGAGGAAGGGGGAGAGAGAGAGACATTGATGTGTGAGGGAGAGAGACAGACAGACAGACATGGATGTGAGAGAGAGATGTTGATCGGTTGCTTCCCATTCACACCCCGACCAGGGATGACACCCACAACTTGAGTATGTGCCCTGACCGGGAAGTGAACCCTCAGCCTTTACGGGACAATGCTCCAACCAACTGAGCCACCCAGCCACGGCTACAATATTCTTTTTTTTAAATGTTATTGTAAAAGTAATACCTACTTGTCATAAAACATTAAAACAGCATAAGAATATAAAATTCTAAGTTCCTCATCTCTCATAATCGCAGAAATAATTGTTGATAGTTTAGTGTGTGCCTTCTAGACATTTTCTTTGTGCACGCGTGTGTGTGTGTTTATATACTTTGTTTTTATCCATTCATACACATACTTTTGCAATCTCACCTTTTTAAAAAATACCTTTTATTATGGAAATTTACATGCATACACAGAAATAAATTAATACAGTGAATCCCCATTCATCATCAAAGTCCAACAACCATCAGCTTTCCTATTCTTATTTCATCTTTTCTCTCCGCTTTCACTTTTCCCCTAGAGTATTTTAAAGCAGATCCCAAGCATCTTACCATTTCTTCATTAATGCTTAAGTATATAGTTCTAGAAGATGAGAATTTTTCAAAAACATTATACAATACCATTATCATACTCAACAAAATTAACAATTCCTAATATCAGCTATTATAATTCCTAATATTCAGGTTAAATCTAATTTTTGTCAGTCATCTCACAAATGTCTTTTTACAGTTGGTTTGTTTGATTTGGTTCCAGTGAGCCCCTCACACTGCTAGTGGTTGGTATGTCTCAAGTCTCATTCTGTAACTCCACACCCCTCCTATGCTATTTATTTTCTGGAGAACTTGGGTTATTTGTCCTGTAAAAAGTCCCATATTCTGGATTTACTGATTGCATCCTCCTGGAGTTGTTTAACACATGCATCTGTGCTCCATATTTTCTGTAAATGGGTAATTCATTTAGAGACTTGATTAAAAGTCTGTTTCATTTTTAAGACAAGAAGGTGTCATTGTTGGAGCTGTGTTCTTCCTATTGCATCACCTAAGAAGACTGTCATTTAAGATTGGTCCATGAATTTGACTTTATGGTTGATTTTCCGCATCTGTACAGACATAATCCTTCATTTTAAAAGTTTGATTTTTTTTATTTGCTTTTTTTAAAGAAATGTGTGTTGGGTACTTGAGCTAGAATGACAAAGAAAGCCATAATGTGGCCCTCACAAGCAGGCTTCATCCTGTGTATGGAGAGGGGGAAGCACTGGGTCACTGGTGCTGCCAGCAGCCAGCTAGCTACCCTTCTGGGACATCACGTAAAATGATGTAACTGAGTGAAAAAGTGGCCATGAGCCGGTTTCCTCTCCCTGCTCAAGTCACTGAGCTGCTGTTGTAGTGAGGGATACTCATGAATCCAGAGTTCTGAGTTGGTGGTGTGTAGGAAGGCTTCTTGGTCTTGAGAGGACTGTAGATTTTTGGTCCTTGCCTTCTTGTACTTTGGAAGCTGAAATCACAGTGGTCTTCTGGTGCCCAGTGGTGAGTCCAGACTTGTGGCGGGGCATTCCGCTTTGGAGAGAGTGGGTAAGATGACCCTTAGCAGCACAGTTTCGGAGCTGGAAAGGGGCATTTAGGAGACCACATAGTTTAGTGCCTCAGTTTATAGATGAGAAAACTGTGGCCCAGAGGAGAAGGGAGGTTCCCAAAACCACCTGTCTACTTACTGGAACAGCATTCAAGCTTCCAGTTCTCTAACTGTGCTAGCCAGCTGGCATTTCCTACTTGGAATTTCTGAGATAGTGAGGTGGCTAGATTAGAGTCTTCACAGATTCTTAATCTGCACCCAGAGTTTCTGAGTAGCCTTTGGTATTGATCTTATTCTCCTTCTGTTCAACTCCAGGTGGGTTCTTTGGTTTGGAAGAGGTAGTGAAACGTGGTCTCTTTTTCCCAGCATTTGGTGGCCAGCTTGGTCTGTGGTGGCACAGGGGTTTGAGTACAAACTGGATGTCATGAGTCTCAGTCTCAGCTCCACGTTAGTCAGCTAGCTGAGAGGTTTCAAACTGACGTTTCCTAAAGAGATTGGACCAGGTTTGCCCAAAGCATGGTATGAATGTGCCAAATGTAGTATGAGGATAAAAGATTTTCCTTCATTATATTTATACTTATTTTTCACTTATAGTAATACTGGTTTTCTATTTTCAGCAGTGTCATAAGCCTCCTCTTTAAAGCTATTAAGGCTGAAAAGTTGATAGATTTAGATAAAATAAGGTAGTTGGTATTCTAACCTGGCACAAGGGGGAATGCAAAGATTGCAGTGTGGAAGACATTGGACCAGATGGCCTTTCTGGTCCTTCCCAGCTTCCTAACCTTTCAGAGTTACAGGGTTTTCTTTATATTCTGGCATATAGCCCTGGCTGGTGTGGTTCAGTTGGGTATTTTCCCATGCACTGAAAGGATGCTGGTTTGATTCCTAGTCAGGGCACATGCCCGGGTTGTGGGCTCAATCCCTGGTGGGGAATGCGCAGGAGGCAGCCAATCGATGTTTCATTCTCACATTGATATTTCTCTCTCTCTCCCCCTCTCCCCCCCTTCTCCCTCTCCCACTTTCTCTAAAAGTCAATTTTAAAAATCTTAAAAATAAAAAAAAAATTCTGGCACATACCAGTCACAATCCTTCTGGCCTGAGCAGATTCATCTGCTATCCAAAGTTAGGGCACAGCCTGTGAATGTTCAATTTGATTGAGCATGTATTTATCACCTGAGGTGGTTATCCTGGGAGAATGTAAGGACAGCGAGACCCAGTTCCTATGGAGAATCATCTGGAGGCTGCTCTGTGTTGATGCAGTTTATGTATTTGTGTGGTATCCTCTGGGCCATGTTCATTCGAAGTTTCTGAGTCATTGCTGTCTGGGTAGTGCTCCACGACTATCATGCCCTGCAGCTCCTGGGAAGTCTCCTCAGGGGTTCAGTCATAATCTGAACATCTGAGCTGAGAGAAGATGGGGAGATTGGCATGGAGGCCGGGGGAGTGAGCTGCAGAAATGGTAGTTAAGGGCTCTTTGCCTTTTAGGATTTTCCTGGGGAGAATCTTCACTCAAGAGTTTGCTGACAGCCAAGGATGGCAAGCAAGGGGCCCTCGGCCTCTGCATCCCCTGAGAACTCCAGTGCAGGGGGACCCAGCGGCAGCAGCAATGGTGCTGGCGAAAGCGGAGGGCAGGATAGCACCTTCGAGTGCAACATCTGCCTGGACACAGCCAAGGATGCTGTCATCAGCCTATGCGGCCACCTCTTCTGGTCAGTACCCCTGCCACCATCCCAGAGGACACACTGCCAGGTTTGGAAAGCTTATAGTCCCGGACAGCTTTGGAGACAGTTTCCCACACACTTTGGGTCCTGATAAACTCAGAACCAAAGGCAGGCGACCTGGGTTCTCATCCTAGCTCTGTTGATGATGAGCTGAGTGACTTTGGGCAAGTCCTGTTTCCCCCTGGGCTCCGTATCCCCATCTCTGAAGTAATAATACTTATCATTTAGTGAGCAATAAATAGTTGCTACTTGCTATACTAGCCAGGAAACAGGAAAGTACAGTGATTCTTAGCAAGGACTGTTGAGCCAGACTGCTATGAATCCTGACTCTTCCATTTTATAGGGTTGTTTGTGAGCATTAAATGACTTGAAATATGTAAAAGGCTTAGAAGCATATAGCACATAGTAAATATTATGTGTTAGCTATGGTCCTGATAATTGTTACCATATTTTACATAGTTTATCAAAATGAAGTGTCAGGGTCAGTGTCCATTCCAGCCTCCATGGCTGCAGAAGCCCCTCTTGGCTCTGAGAATCTGGGTAAATGTTGAGATCTTATTTTTTTCTCTTGGTTTTAAACTGGACCTTGAAGGGTTACTTGGAATAATATAAGGGTGAGAATGCCAGGTAAGGTAAAAGAGTGTACTATCCCAAGGCAGGCAATTTCTAGGGACAGGTGTATGCACTGTTGTGTTCACATGAGACCCCGAGGCTACTCTGTACCTCAGCACCCTGGATGGGTACTGTGGACTAAGGAGTGTTAGAATGGTAAAGGGAGGGTTTGTCCAGATTATCAAGCCCAGATTTGACTGAGTAGAACAGAGCTATTGGATATTTTTAAGCAGGTAAGTGGTGTGAAGAAAGGATCATTTAAGCAATATTTAAGGGAGTTTAAGTTGGCAACAGTGAAAATGATACATTAATTGGTGAGTGGATAGAGTGGGGCAGAGATTTTTGTTCTAGAGGCTCTTGCCCTAATCATTAAGTTTTATGCAGAAACTATTGTCATCAGCCCTCTCCTAGAATTTGGAGATACTCCAGTTTTGTGATTGGGGTATCATGAAACCAAGACTTGAAATGAGTGACAAAATTAAGAATTAAGTCAGGGTATCAATGGAAAGAACATAGACTCTAAAATGAAACAGATGCTTCTAATTGGAGTGGTTTGTCTCTGGGCAAATCTGCTGTGCTCTCTGTGCCTCAGTTTCCTTATCTGTAAAATAGAGATAATTGCACTTCTTCAAAGGTTAGTGTGACCATCCAGTGACATTAACAAATGCAAAGCTATTCAGCCACAGGCTGGCACATAGTAGCTTTATAACTGGGAGTAATCATCATCATTGATATAATCCTTCACTTGTCCCTGAGGAAAAGTTACCTCCGCTTTTTCTCCACAGCCTTTGAGGGAAGTAGCTAGTGGAGATCTGCCATAATTTAGGGTGCCCCAGGCTCAGTTTGGAGTGGCATTGCAAGGTTAATGTTGAAGTCAGATGTCAGGTGTCCATTATATCCAGGGAGATTGTGTATCTGGATTGTGAAGCTAAACTGTGGTTCAGGAATTGGGAAAGGAATTATCCTCTGAGTCTAAATTTTACTCAGATAGAGGAGAGGTATTATTTGAGGGACAGAAACCATGTCCACATTTTCCACTATCCTGGCATGTAGTAGGTGTGCAGTTAACATTTGTTACTTGAATGAGTTAATCAAGAGAGAAAGAAAAGTTTTTAAAATCTGGAGTTAGAGGAACTTTTCCTCCAATTCTGTAAATGTCATTTTTTTACACCCAGTGCTGGGTTATAGAGGGATAGTAAACTGGAAGTCAGGGAACTTTTTAGTCCTGGTGCTATAGGCAGGTCATTTAATATTTCTGAACTTGGTTTCCTCATTTGAAAAATGAGAGATTGGGCAACAACCTATGTAGTGTAGCTCACTAAGCTGAAGGTAGCCCTTTCTGCCAAGCAGCAGCCCCATCCTTCTCGTTACTTAAAGGTGTTTTTAACAGTAGATCTGAACTTGGAAGCTACTTACTCCCAGCTGAGTTCTCAAGGCTGAGAACAGCCTGAAGATTTTGTTAAACTGGATCTAGATTTACACATTCCTTTTGAGTCTGAGGAGGCTATGAATCCACTGAAATTGAGTCCAAAATATTACATATGTGCATGTGTGCGTGAATGGGAGCATAAGAATGTTCCTGTGAATTTTTCTGCACAGGGGGTCCTTAGCTTTTATTTTTTTTAATCCTTATCCGAAGATATTTTTTAATTGATTTTAGAGAGAGGGGAAGGGAAAGAGAGAGAGAGAAACATTGATGTGAGAGAGAAACGTGAATTGGTTGCCTCCTGTATTCCCTGACTGAGGATTGAACCTGCAACCTGGGTATGTGCCCTTACCGGGAATCAAACCTAAAGTCATTCGGTGTACAGATGACGCTCCAACCCATTGAGTGATACCGGCCAGGGTTGGGGTTCTTTAGCTTTTATTGGATTCCTTTAGAGGCCAAAACCTCTCAGAGTTTGACTTGTAGAGAAGTTAGGCCTGGGATAGTCTCGCACCTGGTGGTTTTCACAAGTAGTGGCATTCCAGGGGTGGAGTTTGGCGTCTTGACTCCATTGCTTCATTTTTCCTGTGTTTTTAGCCCAGTCTTTTCTAATTTCTGGCACCAGTAATCCCCCCTCAGTAGGGTGGCAGTGCTCCACACTTCCATCCAGTTTTCCCAGTTTTCCGCTCCTGCCTTGATGTTTCCACTAATGAAAGCATTTTCTTTTCCCTTCTCCCTTTCTCTTTTCTCCTTGATGACTGTTTGCCCTGGGGACTCACAGTTGGCCATGTTTACATCAGGTAAGATGCATTTCATTTTACTTTGTCTTTCATCAGCTTTGGTTGCACAAGACACTCCTAGCCTCAAGAGACTACTGTCAGAAACTGCAATCTCCCCTGCTTGTGGGCTCATTTGCTTGTTTTCCCCCCAAACACCATTACATACCTGCCCACTGACAGGCACTTGATGAAACAAGGGGTCACTGACTCTACCAGCAATGGCCTTTGTGGCCACTATCTACACATCTGGGTCTCTATTCCTTATTTAAAAACACGGTTGGATATGATAGTATGTTTTTTATTTGAGATTGTGCCTCTAGAAAATACATCCTATCATATCAACAATTTCCTCTACCCTTAAAGGTCTTGAAAATGTTAGAAAGGGGAAATATTTTTGGTCTTAACAGAAAACTTGTGAGAGGAAGAAAGTCTGTTTTCCCAGCTTTAGATTATTATGAAAACCAGTTAGTAAGTATTCATCAAGACCCAGGTGCCTGCTTAGTGAGACACAGCAGGGCCTGGCGTTCACAACTGGCTATGAGTAAGCTTTGCGAGCTGGCTGTCTCCACGGTTTTCAGTAGAGGCCCACACTAGTAAGTGGCTTAGGAATGTGGGGGAAGGAGGGAAGTTGCAGACTGCTAGAGCCTCAGAATTTGGATGGGGGAAAAGTAGAGGAAACAGCCCTGCTAATTCAGGGCTGTGCATTCTGATCCCAGTGGAACCTGAACGTGTCTGCTATAAATTTATAAAGAGCGTAATATACATAAATTTGGGGGCTTTTGACAGTAGGATGAAGGAAATAAGGTAGAAAATCATTAAGCATTGCCTTTTCCTTGGCCTTGAAGTCCTAGATTCACATTTATATAATAAACTTTATATCATTGGGTCTAAAATGCAATTTATATTCTAAGATAAATGTTGAGAATATATATATATTCTACCAAAAAAAACCCCAACACTACATGTAACATATTTTTATCATTTTTATTTTGTTTTTAAGAAAGTTAAATAAAATGTTTTTTATATAACCAGTTAAAGGGCCTGGGAAACGCAAAACAGGATTCTGGTGTTCTTCATATTGAAAGAAATAGTTGAATGCAAAAATCAATGAAAATACATAAAAAACACTACGTAAATTTTTTAGATAATGAGCACAATCTGTCCTTTAGCACATAGTAAATCACCAGAAACTGATCATTTTATATGCAGATGCTGATGTGTGCAAAACAAAGCTGTTGAGGAAATACTGTAAAAATGAGAAATCACAGAAATATCTGACTGCCAGGGTAATACAGTTGATCCATTGGGGAAGGTGGAGATTTAAAGTTTGTTATACCGCACCTGCAGCCTAAACTGAGGCTCTAATTGTCAGACACCTTGACATAGCTCCAGACTTACAGGTCCTTCCTGCTGTATTGCTGGGAGCCCCTAGAGAGAACAAAGTATGAAAAAGCTTGTTTAATTATGATGGTATTTAAAAGCAATTTTTATTTCGCCACTAGTAAATATTCATTGAGTGGCAGGAGCAGGAATCAGAGTCAGGTTCCTTGAGGTGTTCCCTGCTGGTGCTGGTGTTTCCAATGTGAGGCCTCTGGTTCATATTGTTCCCCTGCTGGCTCTGATTGACCACTCTTTGGTGGGCTTGCACCATTCATGCATTTTTCTCTCCTGCTTGCAGTGGTTGGAGACGAGACCTAACAGACAGGTGTGTCCAGTTTGCAAAGCCGGAATCAGCCGAGACAAGGTCATCCCACTCTATGGCAGGGGCAGCACTGGGCAGCAGGATCCCAGGTGAGGCCTTGGGGCACTTCTCACACCCACTCTTCCCCTTTGGACATGAATTCACTTCCATTCAGTACCAATTTACCCCTCTCTTTACTTAGTGCTTGCAGACCCTCAGTTCTAAGGCAGTTGGGATCCAGGTGGGAGTCAGTCAGGATGAGTATGGAGCCAGGTTGCCACTTGCTGAGCTATAATACATATATACACTGAGAATCTGCCAGGGCAGGCAGTGTGCTTGGTGCACAAGACTTCACAATTCCAAGTGTGCAAAGTGCTGTAAAGGAGCAGCCTGGGAAGCAAGGTGTCCAGCAGGATTCTGCAAGGATGTGGGTTGCTGTAGCAGTGATGTATAAAATATGGAGGGAGGAAAGGGCAGGGGTCTTGGAGGCTTGTGGAGTTGAAGTTTCTGGAAATGGAGGTGTCAGTGGGTCTGGCATGCTCTAGACAGACACAAGTACTGAGAGCCTTTTGTGATGTGGCACCCCCAACCCCCCTGAACCCCCCAGCAGTTGTCTCTTACCATTTCCCACCCATCCCAGCACACCCAGTGCCCAGACACATTGGACTTCTCATAAAGGTTCTTACCCTTTCACATTCATGAGACTTTGTATTTGTTTTCCCTTTGCCTCCTCTGCCCTCCCCAGTTCTGCTCAACCCCTCCTCCTCCTCAAACTTCCGCCCATCTTTAATGAGCAGCCCTAAAGTTACCTCCTCCTTGAAATGGCCCTTGTTCCCCACATTAGTTGCTCTCACCCATGCTCCCACCTCATTTAGTTCATATCTTTATTAAAGAAGTCCCTTCCCACACTGTATTGTGATTGGTTGTAGTCCCCTTTAAACCATGAACACCTCAAGAGTAGGGTCTGTCATCAGTCTTAGTATTGGTAAAAGCCTACCTTGTGCTTAACGGGTAACAAGTCCTCAGTTCAGTATTTGTGGGACATTTCAGTGGTTGAGCATCGACCTAGGATCCAGGCCGTCGGGGTTCGATTCCCGGTCAGGGCACATGCCTGGGTTGCGGGCTCAATCCCCAGTGACTCTCTCATCATTGATGTTTCTATCTGTCTGTCTGTCTCTCTTCTTTCCTCTCTCTGAAATCAATAAAGATATATTAAAAAAAAAAAAAAAAAGAATAGTGTAGAGCAGTAGTAGGCAGTAAAGCGGAAGTTAATAGGGGCAGATCAGAGAGGACCATGAATCTCAGCCCTCTCTGCTGACAGGCCACCCTCTGTTTGAGTTTAGATTTGGGATTTTTAATTTCTGTGACACACAGGTCCAGGGATAGATGTTTGGCTGGCATTCTTACCAACCTGGGTCATGCTGTCTGTGAGAGGAGTAGGCTCAGTGCAATCTGATAAGCATCTTACAAACAAGCTGATTTTCTCCTTGGTTTTTCATAGGTAGGGAACAAGTGCAGGTAGAACAAAGATTTATTTAGTGTTTGGGTTTATTTTGGCATAGGTTCATGTACTAGGCAGGAACAGGTGAAGAACTCCCACTTCACCTGGGAGCAGCTGAAAGCATTATGTAATAGACCTTTTTACACCTTTTCTGTTTCAGAGAGAAGACCCCTCCCCGTCCTCAAGGACAGAGGCCAGAGCCGGAGAACAGAGGGGTGAGGAAAATTCTATGAGAAGCTTCTAGAAATGAGTGCATGGCTTTAGAAGTTTCTCTCTTGGCCCTATACTTTTTTTCCTTGATTAAAAAAGTAAAGAAAAATTTGTAAAATACAGAAAGGAAAAGGGGGAAAAATCACTTACAATCACACCATCCAGAGATAACCACTGGAAACATTTTGGTCTATTTTCTTTTTCCTTTTTCTGTAATTATGTATACACACAGACAAATTTTGTAGATCTTTTTATGTCTGTGTGTTTTATTTATAGATGTGTGTATATTCTACATGCTGTTATAAAGCATGTAGAAAATTTTACTGGCTAGTATGGGACTCTGGGAAAGAAAAAGAACCCTGACTTGCTTCAGCAGAGTGTTTTACTTTGGGTCAAAGCCAGTTCTTTCTGGCATTCAGATCTCCTTAGCTAGGACTCCCTGTAGGCTAGAAGGGCAGAGGGACCACCAGGATTACTCTGCCTTGGGATCTAGATGGGAGGAAAAGATGTCCCCTCTTGGAAATAGGCAGCAGAGGGGAGGGAGGGCAGGTGGGTCCCACATGTAAGTGACACGTTTAACAGGTGCAAGAAAAACCTGCTTGTTCTACTTCTTAATTGCAATTCTTCTACACAGGGATTTCAAGGATTTGGATTTGGAGATGGTGGCTTCCAGATGTCTTTTGGAATTGGGGCGTTTCCCTTTGGGATATTTGCTACAGCATTTAACATAAATGATGGGCGACCTCCTCCAGGTAAGACCCTATTCCCTTGGTAATCCTGCTTTAAGGCTTCTTAGAATCTGGCAGTATATAGGTTGTAGATAATTGTTACTACATGGATAATCAGCCTTTTCAAAATGCGCTAAATTCTTTTCATATTACTGGTAGTCGCACTAATGATAATGCACACTTAGCATGTTCAGAGTGCTTTCTGTTACAAGCTCATCATTCTTATGATAAGCCTATGAGACAGATGTGTGATTAGCTCTGTTTTATAAATCAGAAAATACTCAGTAATGTTTCCCAAGACATACCCCATGCCCATAAAATGAAAAGGTATAAACCATACCCAGCTGAGGAAAAGCCTAGTCCTGCACAGGTACCCCACCCTCACTTTGACTTTTGGAGACTTTGGGGGGTAGGGTGACCCAAAAGGAGTCAGTGCCTCTCTATTCTCTGGAATCTCTGTCCAACTTCTCTCTGGAGACACATGGGGCTGGTCCCAAACCCCAGCCTTTTGGGAACTCTGCCTAGGTCTGCCACCTGCTGCTACTTTTCTCCCTCCAGTCAGCTTGAGAATGCCAGCTGCATTTGGTGTAGAGTAGGGTGGTGAGGTGGGTGCCCTGTACTCTATCACAATCTGACACCCAGGCCAGGATCCTTACCATGGAACCTACAGAGCTGCCAAGGTCAGCTAAGCTCTGCTTGCAATCCTTGAAGCCTCATATGTGCTATGCATGGGTACCGGTGCATAGTTCCTGGCCAGGAGCTTATGCTCTAGGGACAGTAACCCACTCTTGGGCCATCCCATTTGTCCCCTGCCCCCACCCTGGTGCTTGGCACATAGTAGGCAATTGATAAATCTTTGTCCACTGCCTGCCTGCATGAATCCATCAGAGCACCTAACTGGAGAATAGTACAGCACCAAGAGATCTTGGAAATGCCTTTCCTTACCTCATCTACCTCAGAGGTTTCTCCTCTGTTCCTATGTTTTCTGTGAGGAAGGAGACCCCAAAGGGCAGGGCCTCATGAAGGCAGCAGGAACCTGCCTGGTAGCTTGCTTCCCACCTGTTCCAAGACTTACCTTGGGTTCCCCAGGAAAACAGACTGGACTCTGGATCTCTTTATCTTCCTGCCATTATCAGACAGTTTTCTTGTTAACGTTTGATACAGCTTTTCCATGTAGGTGCTCTTAACTCTCTTTCCCCAGTAGTCAAGACAGGGAGCTCTACATAACTGCTTTTCTCAAAGCAGAGAGGAGGGGAGACCCAAGTTCTCAGCCCACTTGTACCCCTAGTTTGCTCTGCAATGAGGGAGACAGGACATTTTGCTTGTCTTGGCCCTAGCTCTCTCCTCTGGAAAAGGAAGGCACTCCATATGGTGCTCTCTCACACCTCTCCTGGTTCAACAGTACCAGAATCTAGAGACTCCATGACTCAGGAGGCAGTGCTTCAGCGGCTTTTTTTTTTTAATTGAATTTATTGGGGTGACATTGGTTAATAAAATTATATAGGTTGCAGGTGTACAATTCTGTAATACATTGTCTGTATATTGTATTGTGTGTTCACAACCAACTTCAGTTTCTTCTTACAGAAAATGGAAATAGTACTCACCAAGCAATAATGTGTGTGCAAAACACTTAGCACATAGAAGATGCTTAACAAACAGTAGCTTTTCTCTTATTATTCCCCCTAAGAGTTTCCTGATTTATTTGCACCTGTAGGCCAAACCCTCTTAGGATAAATTGAAGACCTTGTCCTTGTTGTTATATTATTCCACATATTTTCATAATTCCATTTGTTTTGCCTGATACTATTTGGGGTTTGGAAATCTTTTTAGTGTGCAGGATTCTGTTGAAAAGAGATGAAGGTTAATACTTCTCGACTTCTGTCCCAAATGGGCAGTGTGCACAGCTGCATCATGCTGACAGCCTCTCTTCTCCCTCTTATCTCTCCAGCTGTCCCTGGAACACCCCAGTACGTGGATGAGCAGTTCCTGTCACGCCTCTTTCTGTTTGTGGCCCTGGTGATCATGTTCTGGCTCCTAATTGCCTAATGCTGGACTCCTGGCCTACATCCATGACAGGGCCTCTGGACTTGGTGGCACACCACCCCCACTCTTGATGTTTGGCTTCCTGGATAATCTTGACCCCTGGAATCAGTGGGGTCAGTAACACATCAAGGAATCTTGCTTCTCCATCAGAGCTTTAGGACTCAAGACCAGTTGTAGAGAACCCTGGAGTATGGCCACTGCCATAAACATTCTGCTATAACCTCAGGCCTTGGCATTGAGTCATCTCTCATGGGTTACAACATGAAATCCTATTCCAGCCAGCTCAGCAGCTCCTGACTCTGTACAGGGAAGAGGCAGAAGAGAGAAACTGTTGATACAATTTCACCTGAGTTTAATATTATAAAACAAAGAGATGAACCAAATGTTACTTATGGAAACTTTCTTTCATCTCCTTAAATACCCCTTGGTTTGTGGCCCCCGAAGTCAGTGGGGCTTCTCATACAGAGAGGTTCCCCTTCCAGATCCCAGTGCTACTCTGTCCTATTTCCACCTCCCTCTCCTCTCCCTCCCCCTTCTCTCCCTCCCCCTCCTCAGCAGAGAGCCAAGAAATTGCTGTCCTATAAAGATCATAATTGCAGCAGCTGAAGCTGGACTCGCATCATGAATTCACCAGAGACCCAAAGATCTTTTATTGGCTCTGGGCTATACTCAGCGTCTTTGGCCCCAGAGAGTGGCTTGAATGACCTCCTTGTGTTTTGGCATAGATTATCCCGGGAGACATGTGACTACTCACAGATTCTTCATCACCTTTCCCCAAAAAACTACACACATGTTCCTCTCTGCCAGAGGGCGCACAGCCTAGACTACTGCTGAAGCTGGGACTGACTGTTGTGCATTAGGAAAGACCTGCAGTTGTGACTCCAGTGGGATTCAGAGCTTGGATGCAGGAACAACTGCACAAGTAGCCTGTCCCCAAGGCTGCAGAAGCTCCACGTGCATCTTCTCCCAAACCTGCCCAAAGGAAACTGGGGCTTTTGTCAAGTTAGCCCAGCTGCATGTTGAAGACCACCCTCCTCAGAAGCCAAATTATCCTTAATGAAGAGGCAGGAAAGGGGGAAGGCCCTTGATATGGTTTGATGGACACCTCCTTGAATGTGTGCTAAAACCAGGGAAGCATGTGACTCCAGAGCAGGCAACCCCTGATGAATTGTTGAAGTCAGGCCATGGGCCTGGGGAACCTCAGCACGGTGATATATGATGTGGTCTTTCTGTGGAAATCATGTTTCCCAAGCCCTTGATCTGTTTTTCCATTTCCAAGCTGCTTTCTCCAAATCTGATTAAGGGAGTGTGGTGCCAGGCAGGAGGACAGGTCACTTGGTGGAATGGTTCTTGCTCTGCCTGTCAGACCTCTTCCTAGAAATCCAGTCTATTCCAGGAGATCCCAAGGGTGGGAGGAGATGGTCTTCCACAATACTCCTGGCTTACCTCCAGCAATAGCTAACAAATGGTAGAAAGCCCCACCTAGTGTTTTTTTTTTCTTTCCAGATATGGCTCTGCATAGCATGTGGAAACCAGGACCTCATCTCAGATGGGGAAGCCCTCCTCCCCTCTCCATTGACCCCATCCCTTCCCCATTTGTAACCTGTCAATGCCAGAGTTCAGTATTAAAAGACAAAATATAAGTATTGAATAAGTGGTTCATTTGCTGAATCCATTTAGTAAGAATAAGCCACCAGCTTTACAGTGTACCTCATGGATTTTAAACACCTTAGGGGCACCCACACAAGAGTGCTCTTTTTATTGCCTAGAAATCCCCAAAGTGGGAGGTGGAGTTTCTCAGCTGGTGAGAACTGGTGGGATCCCTCAGTGCAGTGGCTCCACCTAGTGGTTGGAGAGAGGACTTCAGTCAGATGGGCCCAACAAAAATGGATTTCCAGAAGAAAGGTTCAAGAAGGGATATGGGTAGGAAGACTAATCACTTTAATGAAATGGAGTGAGACCAGGAGAGCTCTACCAGCAAAGGTATAATCACTTCGACTCTTAAAGGTGAGCCCAGAAGAGCTCTACCAGCAAAGGTATCCCAGGAACCAGTTAGCAAAGCCAGGTTGGCTATGTGCCCTTTGATTTTGAACCTTATAGGTCCCTACTTATCCTCTGCCAGGAGCTGGGGCAGGAGAGCCAACTTAGGACTGCTGGCCCAGCCCTAATAGGGAGCCCCCTTCCTGCCATCCCTATACAGGCTCGCCACCTCACTCCCCTGCCAAGGCAGTTTTTCTTTCTCTTGTGTGTGTTTTCTATGTTCTTAGTCTCTACTCCCACTCCTGCCACCTTTGTGGATCAGGACCAGTTCCCACCCACAGACAGAAGATGACCCTATGTACAGTGGCACACCTTGATCAGTCACTAATTTTCACTGTTGTGAAAGTGATTTGATTTAGAATTAAATGGTTTTACATTACTGTGAGCTGTGGACTTCTTGTTTGTGTGATGGGGTCAGGGGGATGGGTTAGGAAGTAGTCACACTGGTAAGGCCTCTGGGAAGCACCTGTGCATCCTTGGGAATGTCACATTGAAGATTAAAGTCTTCAAACAGCCATTGAAAAGTAGGCTGGAGGCCTGGCCTCATACATAGCCCTGCCCAAGGTATGACCTGTCTGACCAGTCCTGACAAGTATGTGGAATTCCTAAGCTTGTAGGTTGCCACAGTGGAGCTTAGCTTGTGGCCCATCAGAGCTTGAGGACAATCACAGGCTATTTATTCACTGTCAGCATCTCTGCATGTTCTGGGACAAGGCAGGCGGCCTGCCCCAGCAGGGGGCATGCTACTCCACATAAATTCTTCACTCAGTAGCAGAATGTGAGATGGAAGATGGTGAGGTTACAAACCTGGCCCAGCCTCAGGCTTCCCAACACACCAGAGCTATAGGTCATCCCTCTGAATGGAGCTCTTTTCTTCGTCTTTGACCTAATAGTTATCAAGTTGATTAGTGCCAAGACATACTAGGAAATGCAAACGTAAGGAAAGTCCAGGAACTCAGCCAAATAAAAGAACAGGGTTTTTGTTTCTAATGGAAAACAAAATATACAGAAGTAGCCCTGGCCAGTGTGGCTTAGTTGGACATCGTCCAGTGCATCAAAGGGTTGCTGGTTCGAGTCCTGATCAGCGCATATGCCCTGCTTGTGGGCTTGATCCCCAGTGGGAGTGTGTAGGAGACAGCCAATAGATGTTCTGCTGTCACACCAACTTTTCTTTGCCTCTCCTCTCTAAAAATAATAAATATATATATACAGAAGTAGACCTCCACAGACCAATTGCCCATCCCAATAACCAGTCCTGCTGTATCACCATCCTCACACTACTCCCTCTTCCCTACATGGACAACTTCTACTCATATGTCATCTATTATTTCAATATGCATCTCAAGGATTTTGTAAAACAAAATACCATTTTATGTACCTTAAAAAATAATTCCTTAATGTCATCCAATCATTGTTCAAATTTTCCTAGTTGTCTCATAACTTTTTATATATATATTGATTTCAGAGAGAGAAAAGAAGAGGGAGAGAAATAGAAAAACATCAATGATGAGAGAATCATTGATTGAGCCCGCAACCCGGGCATGTGCCCTGACTGCGAATCGAACCCCGATTGTCTGGATCCCAGGTCGACACTCAACCGCTAAGCCACGCCCGGCCGGGTTGTCTCATAACTTTTATATAGTTTATTTTCATTGAGATCCAAGTCAGATACATACATTGCTGTTACATGTCTCTTAAGTCTATCACATCCAGAGTTTCCTCTTCCATCTCTTCTTTCCCTTATTGTTTATCTGTTAAAAAACACCAGTTCAATTGTCCTGTTAAGTTTCCCACAGCTTCAGTTTTGCTATTTGCATCACTGTGGTGTCAACAGGCTCCTCTTACTCTTGTATTTCTTGTAAATTGTTGGTTACAACTAGAGGTTTGACCTGATTAGGCCTTAATCTGCTCAAGCTTCTAGTTACATATATATGTAAGACTATATGTCATAAGTGGTAGTATATACTTCTTGTTGCATCATATCAAGAGGTATATAATGTCAGGTAGTCCCCCTTACTGATCATTGTCTAAAACAGCACACACTACTATCCAATAGAATGTTCTGGCGTGATGGAGATGTTCTCTATCTGCACTGTCCAGCACAGTAACCACTAGCCACGTGTGGCTATCAAGCACATTAAGTATGACTAGTGGATTTAGGAACTAAATACTTAGTTTTAATTTAGCCACAAGTGGCTAATGGCTATCATATTGGACTGTGCAGATTTAGATTCATAGGGGTTGCAAAATGATATAATTGAAAATAACAATGTGTTAAGAGTTTAGAAACATGACTGCACTTATGGGCAGAACGGGCAACAAAATTACTGAGAACATGGGGTGCTGGTGGTTGTAGGAATGGCAGAGTAGTAATAAGGCAGAATGTGTTCGGAAAAAGCTGAATCCTGGAGTGAATGGAGTAGGGAGAGAAGCCACAGAGTGAGATGTAGTTAGCTCATAAGGGCCTGGTTTGGCCTTTATTTTGTAGGCATCCAGTTTGGGCTACATGGTCAGGACAGGAGGAAAGAATTGTGCTCACCTTTGCTTACTCGAGTACTAGGACCAGAGGCAGCTGGATTGAACTTTGTCCTCGATAGATCCATTTCCTTGGGGCCCATCTCTGTTCATTCCTAATCATTTGGACTCTTTTCCCATGACCTAAACCTGACCTGAGGAAATGACAGTTGCCAAAGACCCAGCATAAGAAAATCAGATGGGAGGAACTTCGGGGACCAGATGATGTGGCCAACCCTTCGACACATGGAGGACCTCAACCCCCTCTTAAGCCCAATAAGCAGAAGTGGTTCTCAAGGCCCCTCAGCCAGCCAGCAGCTACTAGAAACCAGTCTGCTGTCCTAACTCCTTGTCCAGTGCTCTCTCCTCCACAAAGAGGAACTTGCAGGGCAAATCCAGTAGACAGGTGTGTTTCCTTTGGCCTACACAGCATTTTTAGACTCTCTTAATGTTCCCAACATTTTAAAAAGTGGGAAATTTCACCTAAATATCCAGATTTTGGGCTTGTCTTGAAAAGTGGGAAGATCTGGTGTGCTGGATTCATTTATATACCTATTTGGTCTGGCTAAGGATCTGACCCTGGAATGGTTGCACCACCCCCATACCATCTTTGACCTAGAGATTATCTATCGAGTGTCTGCTTATCCATAGTGGCGTCGAGAACTGGCTTCTCTGAGCCAAAAGCTTCTAAGAAGAATCCACCCTTAACCTCCCTCCCCCAAAGCTATCTTGGGTAGAACTGTTTTCTCCATATTCATATTCTTGATTCCAAACACTCTCCTGGAAAGAGCTTTCAAGAGTCAGGAGACCTGGGTTCCCAGCTCAGCTCAGCTCCTAATGAGCTGTGCCATTTCGAGGTAATCGAACTTGTCAACTCTCTGGCCTCAGCTGTCCCCATCTGTAAAATGGGCTGAGGGTCCTCTGTGTTGCGGCCTCCCGCGTGCGCAGCAGCAGCCTTCCCAGCTCAGGCACCCAGGGCGGGAGCCGCTCGCACTAGGGGGCGCTAAAGCCTCTTCAGAGCCCGAGCCAGGGGGCGGGGCCGGCCGTGGGGCGGGGCATCGGCCGGCGGGCCGGGGTGCCGGGGTGCCGGGTGCTGTTTGGTCCGCCCGGGGCGCCGTAGGCGGCGCATCCCGCTAACGCCTGGGGCTGCGATCCTCGCGCGCCTGAGGCGACAGCCCGAGCTGAGAGGAGCTGCCGCGGCCCCCGCCTCTCCCTCCCCATTTCCGCGCCCCGGGACCATGGCCACGCCG